GGTCTTGCATTGCACTCCGCGAGATTAGATACAGGACCATGACACAAATTGAGTTCGAACTGTAGTGAGGCCCAAGGGCGCGTCTACAATAAGCACACATCATAGAACCCCCAGATGGTGTGGATACAGATAACAAACAGTTCATAGGTTCTAATGGTCTAGTTAATTTCCGGGAACAAGCATGTGATACGAATGAATATGTGTGGAACCAGAATCAATCTACACATATGCATTCTGAGCACAGATAGAAATGATACCTGACACTATTGATTCAGTGTTTTGTATATCCCTAGGTACCAAGGCAAATACTCTCCATTGCCTCGCTTCAGTCCTGTTGTTGCCCCTGACATTAGTTCTGGTATTTGATTTGGTCATTGAAACTGACCCAGCTGAACTTGCTATGAGGTGACTGGCATTCCCGGATCCTAATGGACAATCTTTTATCATGTGGCCAACTTTGCCACACTGGTAGCAAGCACCAGATACACGATGGCACACTCCCCTATGTCTCCTGCCACAATCCGGACAGTTTAGTATGGATCCACTACGCTGACTAGAACTACTAGAGGATCCTATATTTTGCTTCTTCAAGAATGATCAGCCCTTTTTGAAATTAAACTCGACCCTCTTGCCTTTCCATTCAGTTGGTGGAGTTGTAGTTTGTTTCTTTACCGCTAGAATGGCCTCTGCCATCAGTGCTCTATCCAATACATTCACATACGTGGGTAGGTTAAGAACTGCCACCCGATCCAGTATATCTAAATCCAGCCCATCTTCAAATTTGCGGGCCTTCTTATAGTTCGTGTCCACCATGTGAGGAGTGAATCTGGCTAACTCAGTAAACTTAGCCTCATACTCAGCTACAGATATTCTGCCTTGTTTAAGTTCTTGGAATTCCGACATTTTTCGGTCCCAAAAACATTGAGGGAAGTACTTGTCATAAAAGATTTCATTGAATCGAGCCCATGTCAAATTCCCATTACCATTTCGAGCTAATAGCCACCATCTGCAGGCTTCATCTTTTAGAGTATAGGTGGCCAAAAGGACTTTCTGAACCTCAGAACAAGGAAAGACTTCAAATAATTTCTCCATTTCTAGCAACCATGATTTAGCATTTAGTGGTTCAATGCCACCCAAGAAGGTCGGCGGTTTCATTTTCATGAATTTTTGAGTTAAATTGATTATGTCATTTTTGTCCGGTTCAACTTGTACCGGCGGAGGCGGAGGAGGTAAATGTTGTTCCCTCTGTTGTTACGCCATTGCCTCAGTTAAAGCTGTAAGCATTTGTTCCATTCGACTCATTCGAGCCTCAGATGATTTAGCTATTCCATCACTTCTTGTATTGTCCATTTGCTATAAGTAAACAGGACATTATAAACATAGGTAAATAGTCCTTTTACATTGTTCAGATTGTTTGTTCCCATATCACATGATTACAATCGGATTTATGCTTTCGCTTTCAAACACACACACTTACACATGCAGATGGAATGCCCCTACTTCTTACTAGGACATCCTAAGCTCATATGGAGTTGTGTATGTGGTAGAACACGTGCTCTGATACCACTCTGTCACGACCCAAACCTGCCTCTATGGGTTTAGCGTCGCAACTGGCCAGTAATCCTTGGATTACCAAAGGCCTCATACAGGATAACATATAAGTAGGGGCTGCGGAAGCAAATATAGAAACATACATTGTCCAATGAGCTATGGAGACATATATAGGATAAAAATTTTAAACTTTATACACGTATATGTGACGTCATAAATACATTAGTCTTTCGTCACCTGAGCCACTTATACAAAACTTTCAAAACATGTTCAGACCAGACATAAACATTTAGGGGGCACTAAAGTCCCAGAAACACAAAAGCTGAACAGATCTCAAAAGGAACCTTCACGGGAGTCACGATGGCTGGCTGACACCAAAACTCCAGACGGCAGCTTAGGCCTGGTCACGCGTTTGCTCTCCTACATACATAACGTAAATAGTGAGTGAAAGCCCAATGAATAATAACAAAGTAAAGATTTTACTGAATGATGTCCATAAAGAAATAGAGTCTTGTATATGATCAAATGTCAAAGTAGAAATAAATTCATATACGTAGTCATAATCGTATTCAAAGTTCGTACGTTTCACAATATAGTACACGGCACATTCATTAGAGTCAACAAATTCGATGACCTATGTAGGGACGACCGTAAAGGCATTCCGATGACCCGTAAAGGGACAACCATAAAGCATTTCGATGACTCATGTGTAGAGAGATGTTTCCGATGACCCATAAAGGGACGACCATAAAGGCATTTCGATAACCTATAAAAGGACGACCATAAAGGCATTCCGATGACCCATAAAGGGACGACCATAAAGGCTTTTCGATGACCCATAAAGGGACGGCCATAAAGGCATTCCGATGACCCATAAAGGGACTCATATCAAATGATGCTAAGGATGCCATGAATGCATTTCAGAATCTTGGACAATCATTCATTCATTTAAAACATAGCGTAGCATTTCAGAAAACTAATCATTTCATATCATGATGTTCAGAAAATATTTAACATTAAACAGAACTTTACAAAGTTATTACTCACAGATAACTGGTAGCTCCAAATAGACGGCAAAGTGGGCAATTCACTTAACCTGAGGCGCATGACCTACATAACATGGTAGATTCATACATTGAAACACACGCTCAGATTGTACGTACCTTATTTCATTTGTTCTTAGTTCATTTTTAGCCTTTAGCCTCTAGCCTCATTATGGAGTCTTAATCTTGGCCTAGGAATGCCTAGGATGGAATGAGGATGCAAAAAAAAATGTACTTGAAAACACTTTTCAAAACTTGCTGAAAACAGGGTCCACGCTCGAGCTTGGCTTTCCACGCTTGAGCGAACATGCAAAATGTGAGAGTCCGCTCGAGTGCAACTTCCTTCGCTTGAACGGTCTGCAAACTTTGAAAAAAAGTACTGGTTGCTTGTTTTTCATGCTCGACGGACGCTCGATCCCTGCTTGAGCGTGAGATTCAGACCCTCACTCGAGCGTGACTTTTGTCGCTCGAGTGTGTTGCAAAACGCAAAAACTTCTGAGGGCTTGCATTTCACGCTTGAGCATACTTAAGATCACTTGAGCGGAAGTGCATGCACTCAGAGTGGTCGCTTGAGCGTGAATTCCTACGCTCGAGCGTAGGTGCAAATTTTGGAATTTTCAGATTTGTCTCCAAGTTGCAAATCATGAATTCAACACCTCAAAACTCATCCTCTTGGGCCAAAATTCTGGAAAACATTTAGAAACTCACAAAACATCATGCTTTGAAGATTATTTCATGAAATCAAGGCCCAAAAGCATGCCAATTGTTCAAAAATTCAACTTAAACTTTATGAATGTTTCATGAACATAACATGCATGAATTCCCTAAAACTCAAACTTCTCAAAACATGATCAAATGCTACAAAACATTGTGAAACTTGATGATTTCCCAAAATTAAGGTGAATTCAAGACATGAATGAGGGAATTCTTGGAAATTCAACTCAAAATGTGAGAAAATATGCATGCATGCATGGTATGGTTTAACACTCTTCATTTCTAACTCAATTCCCACATGAATTCATTTAATTCACTAGAAGTCTTGTAAGATCTAACCCAATTACACAACTAAGAGTTTGATTCCACACCTAGAGACTTGTATTCACAAAGGTTGAAGTCGAAACTCTCAAATCCTCTTCAAATGTCAACAATTCCTAGCAAATCCTTTGTTTGAGCTCAATTTCTCCCTACTCTCCCTCTTTCACATTTTCTTACTTGAATAGCTTCAAAATGTATTGAAATGAAGGAAAAGAGATGAGTGGGGGCTCAATTGGTGCCTTATATAAGCTTGGATAAAGTGTAATTAATTGAGGTTAAATAAGTGGGCATTAATTTAATCTAATTTAATCATTCCAAATTGAATTTTAATTAAACCTACCATAAGGTTCTAAAAATTCCAAATAATACATAAATTAAATCAGTTTTGTGATCGGATGCCGATATGGCCTTCGATTCGTAAAATATAACGAAATTTCAAACAAATATTCTTACAATGAACAGATAAAAACACAAATAACATAATACACATGCAATTAATCCAAAATTTGATCTTAATAACTTATTAGGCACATGAAATCATAGATTAACGTTAATCGTGGGTCAGGGTCGTTACAATGAGGCTCTGGATGTTACTTGTAACCCTCACACACCCTCACTATCTCATTTACCTCCACATCAACCTCACCTCCCTAATCCCCTCCCCCCTCCCCCAAACACATTCTTGAAACCTTGTAAATCCTGACCGAGAAAACCACCTGACTTAGACTTCAGTTATGGTGAACGAAGAGATCACTCTCCCAACCACGATAGTCCACAGGTTGGACGGCAATGCGATGGGGCTGCTCTTAGAACAAGGGATCGAAGCCATTCACCGCATAGTTACAATCTGGTGGATCAAACAGATAAAGCTGAGACTAGAGCCTGGTTGGAGCACCATCCCAAGGCCTCTACTCCATTCACTTTAGATGGCATCCCTGAGGTCACCAAAACAGGATCATCGTAGGATCCGTAGTATCTGCCCCAACTTGGTTACAGACCCCCTCCCCCCATTCCCATTTATGAATTCTCTTAATATGTTAATTTGGAACTGCCGTGAGGTAGAAAACAACACCTTCAGAAGAAACATGAGGGAACTTCTCAACACTCATAAATCTGACATTCTTATCCTTCTTGAAACTAAAGTTACCTACAGTTCTATAGGCAATTTCTTCACTAACTTGGGCTTCTCAGCATCTACCATTGTCGACCCTATTGGCAGATCTGGAGGCATCTGGTTATTATGGAATACCTACCATGTGAATGTAAGAGCCTCTGCGGTCTCTAACCAATACATCTAGGCCACTGTCCACAAAGAGGATTATGAGGAGTGGGTGCTCTCTGCTATTTATGCCAGCCCCAACCCCTCTGCCAGAGAGTCTTTATGGGAAGCTCTAGAAGATACTACAAATAGCATCAACAAACCATGGCTGGTGGCTGGGGATTTCAATGACTACACTAATAAGAGTGAGCGTAGAAGCTTATCCCCCACCCAAAATCACAACAGAACCCGAAGATTCACTGACAGGATAAACAACTGCAATCTTATTGACTTGGGGAGCGTAGGACCTCGACTCACCTGGACAAACAACAGACAAGGATTGGCAAACACTATGGAAAGGCTTGACAGAGCTATGAGCAATGACCAATAGAGAGTTCTCTTCCCTGAAGGTATTGCGAGAACTTTTCCAAGGATCAACTCTGACCATTCGCCATTGGTGGTCTACACACAAGGTATGCATCCTTTCAACCCTCAGAATAGACCTTTTAGATTTTAAGCTTCTTAGCTTACCCACCCCAATTTTGGTGATGTTGTTATTAATTCTTAGGCTAATATGGACTCTAATCTTATTGAAGTTATCAGCTTATTTACTCACAATGTTAAAATTTGGAATAAAGAAGTCTCTGAAAATATTTTTAAAAGGAAACGAACTCTTCTCGCTCGTATAGAAGGAGTCCAAAAGGCCCAGGCTAACTCTTTCTCTACTAACTTACATGTCCTTGAGAAAGATCTGATCAAGCAATATCACATGACTCTCTTTCAAGAAGAACTCCCACGGTATCAAAAATCAAGAAATAAGTGGCTTACCATGGGAGACCAAAATACCAGATTCTTTCACATCTTTACCATTACCAAAAGAAGGAAGTTGAAAATTCATGTTTTAAAGGCTGATAATGGCAATTGGATATCCAACCCTTCTGATCTCAAAACCCATATTTTGGATCATTTTAGAAATCTTTTCCAGCATGAGGACACTCCTCTTTTGAATAATTGGGTTAACATTGCTAGAACCAGATTTACTCTTGAGGATAATGATAGGCTCCTTGCCCCTATCTCCCACATTGAAATTTGGCAAGCCATCAAAAATATAAAAGCTTTTAAAGCACCAGCAAAAGATGGTCTTCAAGCTATTTTCTTTCACAAAAACTGGCGTATCATTGGCCCATCTGTTTGTCATTTCATTATTAACTATTTCCAAAAGAAATTCATCCCTAATGAAATCAATGAAACCCAAATTGTTCTCATTC